CATCAGTCAAAAAATAGCATCAAAAATTCGTGTTTGATTGACGTTTATGATTCGTAAATGTTTTTGCCAGCCATTGAAACCCTCGGGTGTGAAAAGAAGAATCCCTCTTTTCGGCATCTTCACCAGGCAACCAACCACCAATATCAATGCTTTAATTTTTTTTAAAAAAAAAAAATTACATTAAACAAGCTATTCTTAAAATTTTCCGTATAGAAAGTCATTCATGACAATGTTTTGGCTTCATATTAATAATTAAAATGACACATTAAATTTCTGTTACTTTTTGAATGACACATTTAAAGCAGGGATGTAGTCTAAACTTGAAATATCGTACGAATTTGAAAAAAGGTCAAGAATGAAATATCGTACACATTTAAAGTTTTTGAATGACACATTTATCGTACATTTTGAATGATTATTATAGAAATATCGTACGAATTTGAAAAAAAGGTCAAGAATCTTCAACCGATTTTTCTTATGGTCTGAACTTGACAAAAGAATCTACAAAGCCATTATGAGTGTGTTTGGGAGTGATTAACCTATAGATAAAGTGATTTTCACAAAAACTAAAAGCAAAAGCACCTCATACTTGCTTCTCCGAAACGATGTTCTATGTACAAAATAGTGGTGGTGAAAGGCAGAAGCTGATATGCCAAACAGAGTAAAATCATTTCTACTCAAAGTAGAAGCTAAATTGTTAAAAGCGGCACACTGTCAAACACCCTCTATACCTTTCTACCCTAAACTGCAACCCTTCACAATGATATTCCTCCCCCTTTGATGGGAACAGTTCAGTCTTTTCCACGCCGTCCCCTCTCCTTCGCCAGTCCTACTTGCTCAACCCCAACCTCCTGGCTTCCATGTCAACCTTAACAGTAGAACCCCATATCCGCCATGGTAACAGCAATCAAGGGGTTCTGAGCCATGTTCTTTCGCCAAAGCTGTCATCTTTTGATACAATGCTGCACCGGAAACAAATGAACCGTGAAGGGCCGATGGACTACTCGGTATAGATAGTCTTGTAGTACTCGGTATAGATAGTCTTGATTTTTTTAATGTTTACATTTTTAGCATATTTTAATTAGTCTAAATACATTTAAATATCTATTTTAATACATAGTTTAAATTGCACTCCGTGTAACTTAACTATTCAAAATTATTTTGATTATCTATTTAAATTGGCTAAATTGCTTAGGCTTGGATATAATGTTTAATGTGTGTGTGTGTGTGTGTGTGTGTATGTGTGTGTGTGTGTGTGTGTGTATAGTTTTAGAAAAAAGGGTTATTAGATTTTTTTAAAAATGGGTTTATATTTTTAGTTATGAAAAAAGGTTAGATGAGAAAGAAAAAAAAGCTCGCCATCAAACGTGCGATGAAAAAGTGGATCAGAGGGTTACCAAAAAACAAAAAAATTATCCCTAAAAAGAAAGAAAAGTGAAATGGACTTGATCTACTATGTATTTTTTTAGATAAATTTTGCCTCGCACTTGCCACGCAAATAGGGGTGCCGTGTCCTATGCCATGCATGTCAATTTCTCCCTCGCCCATGTCTTGTATAGACAAATCATACATGTTGGCATAGACATACTTTCTCTGTCCAACAATAATATTCTCGTTCACTATTCACATGGTCAAATTTTGTTCACTTTATTAGCGTATTTTTGTTGTTTATTTGGTAAAATAATATAGTTATGTCACCTCTAATTTTTTCGATCTTTTCATGTAGTTTTTAAATATTTAATTTTTCATTTTTTATTTCATTCTATTTTTCATATAAAATGATTTGAAAATAACTCCAATCAACCATAATAAAGCGCAAAGGGAACATTATTGTTGGACGCAGTAATGTTAATATTCTTCATAAAGGATAATAACTAAACTATACGTCAGTCCTGTTTGTCGAAGAACTATGATTACAGACACTACTTGGGGCTTAAGATTGGGAGTCTGTTTTGAGACAGAAAATAATTACTTTTTATTACTCCCTCAATCCCATAAGTATCGTTACAGTCCCTATTCTAGTCTCTCTATTACTTTTGTTTGTATGATTTAATTAATCATTTAGTAAAATTAAATATTCTTATCTTTTATTTTGTAAAACTTTAACGTGAATTTTAAACCTGTGACATAAATTTTCCATGAGTGTTCGAGAATGGGCTTCGTACCAATCAAGCCAAAAGAGATGTTCCTAAACTCATACTTAAAATGCGGCTAAATGTCAATTTTACATTAATCCATCACCAACCTATTACACTAAAATCAAAACAATATTTACATGATATATTCTTTTTCTTATAACTTTGTATACATTGAAAATAAAACAATGGCGATAAACTACAAAAAGTCAGTAAGCTAAACAAGCATACAATGTAAGCTAAAAAAAATAATTAAAAATAAATGTACGAAGTACAAAGTGATAAAGATATGGAAGAAAAGATGGGATAACCCGATTTAGAATTCATATTTATACTTCCTCCATCCCACAAAGTTTGTCAATGTCATTATTGATTATTTTATTTAGTACGGAGTACATTTTATTGATTGTTTGGTAAAATAATTTTTTTTGTTACATCTTGTTTTATAAAATTTTTGATGTAATTTTGAACAGTGTAATTCTTAATTTTTTTTAATACCAAATTGAATTTTAAACTAATTTTAGAAGAGATGAAATTATGCATGTTATTGGGAGACGGTCAAACATTGTAGAACAAATGGAGTATTAGAATTTCAAAGACTGCAAAACCCATTCTACGATTGGAAATGAAGATCGAAATGGGAGATGCTCTTATTAGTAGGGCTGGGTTGGAAAAACCGAAAACCGCAAACCGAACAGAAATCGATCGAAACGAGCTAGAAAAAAAACCAAACCGAAAAAGTCGAAACCGAATGTAAAAAAACCGAACCGAACCAAACCGTTAGTGTTTGGTTTCGTTTTGGTTTTCTCTGTGAAGAACCGAACCGAACTGAATAAACCGAACTTTCTTAGATACATCGCTTTATTTATATGGATATATGTGATACGTAGATAAATTATTGAAACATACTCCCTCCGTTCCTAAATAAAGTTTCTCTTTCGTTTTTTCTTTGTCCCTAAATAAACTTCTCTTTTTCCTTTAAAAACTCCTTTTACCTTTTACTTTTTCATGCCCTACCTATCACATTATAACTTTTTACTAATAATCTATCTATCACATCTTATTTTTACATATCACATCAAGGGTATTTTTGGAAAGTCAACACAAAAATATCCCTCCCTTAAATTCTCAAAAAGTCAAAAATGGAACTTTATTTAGGAACAGAGGAGTATATAGCAAATAAATTACTAGTCGATTAAAATTATTTTCTTAACTATTAATTAAACATTCGAGCCATATTATTATAAACTTTAAAAAAAACCTAAGAATATAAACACTAATAGCTAATCCTAATATAGAATTATATTAACATTAAAAATTGATACGAGTAATTTACATATTTACATAAAAATACTTTGATGTTATAATGAAAATGAAAGTATTATACTAAAAAACATAAATTCTTCGTAATTGATTTTACATATGATGTCTTTGGAAGTATTGGGAATCTTCTAAATGTTTGTTGGGCACTAAACACATACGGAGTATTTTTTTTATGTAAGATTGAACCGAAAGGAACAATAACCTTCCGTTTGGTTTTTGTTTTTTGTGTAAAAATCAAACAAAAAACCAAAGCTAACACTAGATATTGTTATTGTTTCATCGAGTTAGTATTTTTACAATTTTTTAATGCTTATAAATTTCTACTTTTATAAACCGAAAAAACCAAAAAAAACCGAAATAAAACCCGTATAAAACCGAATCGAATAACCAACGGTTTACATATTTTTTATGCAAAACCGAATCGAACCGAACCGCCAATTTACCTTCCGTTTTGTCTTTAGTTTTGGGTGAAAACCAAACCGCCAAAACCGAACCCACCCCTATTTATTAGGGGAACAATATTTTGATTTTATACGGAGTACAAAGTTAGAAAAAAGTAGGTAGTGTTTGGAAAATAAGAACTCATTTGAATTCCTGAATTTCAACTTTAAACCAAGTTTTTAAATTACACGAGGGTGTGTAGATTAGGAAAGAAAAGACTAAAATAAGAGTTAACATTGAAAATATAACAAAATAAGAGTTTCATGTTTTTATTCTTAAAATATGACTTAAAATACAATTACATTACCAATCATGACAATGTACATTAACAAAAAGCATAATAATATGCACATGTAGAGTATTACATTATAGCAGTGTAAACTCTTATTTAGTGAATAAAAACATAGAACTCCTATTTTAATACATTCTCTATGTTTCACTCATATTTAGTGTGATTTCTTTGAATTAAACTTTGTAGAGAATTACATGAATTTAACCCAAACCTAAATTTTTTAGATTTTCAAAAGGATAAAACTATTTGCACCCGAAGTTTTTCCCACTTTGTACCCCACAGGTTTGAACCAACATTTTATATTGGTGTAAAACTAATTTTTATTAATGCATCAACACTTTGTGTCCGTGTAAATTTTTGTTAACGCACCAACACTTGTATCGGTGTAAACCATCAAAATTTTTGTGTATAACTGCGAAATACAAATAGGGTACAATTTTTGGTGCAAGTGTAGCATGGTCCTTTTCAAAAATGTAATTTGGGTCAAATATGAAACTCAAATCCAAATGTAAGTTCCCAGCCACGCCATAAGTGTAAACGTCCCTGGTTTAATTGAAACAGGAACATTCTAACTCAAAATTTACCGGACCTGAAAAGATTTGACTTGACAGAAAATACATAGCGCAAATCGAAGCCAAACAAAAGGACAAAAGACCCAAAAATTTAAAAATGAAAAAAGGTACAATTGTGAATTCAATTTGTAACGCGTGACATATAAATTGATTTGTGTTGCATAAATCATATGCTTTATATCAAATATAACATGAGATGAAAATTTATGGGATAGACCAAAATGAAAAAAGTCATCTTAAGCTGACTTTTCTTTCTTAAGAAGACATGATAAAAATAATTCATCAAATCCCATTAAAAAACTGAACCATACACCAAGAGCATTCTATGAAATCCAGAAAATTTAGAGAGAATATTGCACCTTTCATGTTCATATCTTAAAGTAAGCTGATTAAGAGAGTACAATATGCAACCAAAACAAAGATTCACCTGCACTGTTTCTGCAAGCACAAGTCCCCAAACTCCAGCTTGCAATCCACACGACAGTTTGTATGAAGAAACATGAAGACATTGAGAAAACAAATGTGAACTGCAAAAAATGGTGAACCCTGCAATGCAAGCAAAAGGACGAGGAAAACGCACATTTGCAGTTCAATTTCAGCCACAGTACCTACAATTAGAGAAATTGAACTTTTGAGTTTTCACACGAATTACGTATTTGGTTATATGATTACAATTCATATCTATCCGTTAGTCTCAAATTATTATAAAATAACAAGTATATCTTTAGTTACAAGTATAAATTAAGGAATAGTTAAGCCATTTATTTCACTTGCATTTTTCATCTCTACTTTGAATCCAAGTTTCCAACCATCGAAATTAATAAAATAAATGACACTTCTTCCATTCAAAATGCACAAACAAGCGGCAAGTGCTAACCTTCATAGTGATGCTACTTCTTCCCATATGCCAAAAGCCTTTGATGGGATATCTTAAGTTCTGCCTGACGAAGTTTTCTCCTTTTCTTCCTTGATAGATTACTACTTGTATCATCACCACCATTTTCTGTGGAAGTCTCTGCCTTACTGGTTTCCATCTCTCTTGGTTTCTTCTTATTCTTCTCATGCCGTCCACCATTTTGTTTCTGCGAAACCTCAAGCATCAGCTCTCTAACTTTCTGCTTTTGTTGGTATCTCTTAATATGTGGCACCTTCCACTCTGTCTCTCGGTACGGCGCTAATGTCTTTAAAGGTACATACTGATTCAACTCCTTGTCATCCAATATCAAAATCTCCTCAGCTTTCAGCCCAAACTTTTTAGGCTTAACAGGCTTATACTTAAACCTAGTCTTCAGGTCATCTATAACATCCTCGTAGTCTAACTTGTAATATTCATCCATCAGTTGCTCCTTAGCAGCCTGCATTGCAGCAGTATTACGCATTGGTCCCCAATCTTCATCCTCATTATCACAAGCCACCCCCCTTTTCAAGATATTTTCTCTGGCGGATAAAAACCCATTTTGTTGGTTCACCTTATCCCAGCCAGCTGGAAGCCCAAGTATCTCGTCCTCCTTGTCAAAATCTGGTTTTTCATCATCCTCTTCACTCCCAAAATTAGGGTTTGCATCATCGTCATCATAGTAAGCATCTCCAAATGTTTCGTTCATCTTGCTGTCATACTGCTCTGGGTTGAATTCACCTTCGAGATCAACCCCATCTAGCAAACAAGCCACATCACCTTTGATTCCGGCAGTCTCCTTAATCATTTGAAGTTTCTCATGCATCTCCTTCTTCTTCAAATTCTTCAACCGCTTCAACTCCTCCTTCCTTTCCTCCTTTTCCCTTGCAATCCTTTCTTCCTTTCTCTCCCTCTGTGATTTCCTTGCATTTGATTTTTTTCTAACTGAACCCTCCATTTTCCTTGAGTGTCCCAAAACCCTATCACCAGCATTCTCTTCAAACCTAAAATTGAATTCCCTCTCATAATCCTCTTGCTTCTCTAGTGCCTCCTCATCCTCGGAAAGTATCAATTCTTTGTCATCTTCTACCTTCCCGCCCTTATCGTCTTTATGCAACCACATTTTGTTCCGGAAGAAATCCTTCAAGTACCGGTCATTCTCATCTAACTTATCATCCTTTCCAAAATATTCTTCTAGCTTCTTGGAAAACTCCCCATCATCATCTTCGTCATCTTCATCTCCTCCGTTCCTTCTCTCCTTAATCTTTATTATTTCATCCCCATCCTGCTCGGTTTCCATCTCCTCCTTCGCCACTGCATCGAAGAACTCTTTCCTGAGCTCCTCTTGCTCCTCTAAATATGTCTTAACCTTCTTCTCACCCTTATCTTTATCTCCGTGTTCATCTTCGTCAACGAACTCTGGCCCCTCCTCTATCAAATGCTTTGAGACTACATCTTTCAAATACATTGGCCTTTTCTTTGCACCGGCTTCCTTTTCAACATCAGCTTCAGAATCAGATTCGGACTCAGACTCAGACTCAAACAGTTTAGCCTCTTTGTTTTGTAAGACGGGATCTTTTTTTCTGATCTTGATCAAAGCATCAAAAAACTTGGCATCCTTTTTACTAACTGACTTGCCAAACTCATTGATGTCATCTTCATCCTCAGAACCCTCCGAAGATTCATCTTCATCAACAAGACCCTTCTTCTTCAACTCTTCAAATCTCTGAAGGTCCTCCCTCTTCTTATTGTGTTCGAACCGGCGAGCAAACTCCTCATTAACCTGGATTTTGCTAAGCTTCTCTATATCCTCATCGTCACTTTCAAATAACTTCATACCTAATTTTGAATTATAGAAATGAAATCCAAATCAAATACTCCATCATTTGACCATTATATTATCCATATTTAAAAAATGAACATATATGCCGCTTCGCGAAAAATACAACGTGATTGTCATTGTCTGAATATCAAAAATGAGTTGATCAACATATTTCTGAAAACAATTGTGAGGGTAGATAAGATTAGTAAGATATGACCATATTTTGATATGATTTCAAAATTCAAATTTGTGATTTTACTTTTTTCTATTTGAAAATAAATCAACCAAAACACAATGGGAAGAAATAAACTAAGGGTCCATTTGGAAAGCTGGAAAACAATGGCAAAAGGAGATGAGTGTTAGAGAGAACACTATTGAATTTTTTTTAGGAAAAAGCAAGTTTATTAATCAAGAAGAAAAGAAAAAAAGGTACAAGAGCGGAGGACCAAGCGGAAGCCCCTCGGGAAAAAAGAAAAAGAATACAAAGACAAACAAAACCCCAAACCAAAATCATAAACCAAACCCAATTCATGCCTAAAAGCTTGCATCTTCTACAGCCTTGGCTTCAAAACAAACTACCAAGGTTCTTGAGCATCCCGCACTGATATTTTTCCCCCAACAATAGCCAATAGAAATAAGTTTCAACTATACTACTGATCAACTACCTCCTAAAAGAACAGACGCTACTGGAATTTAAGTCATTGACAAAAATGGAGAATAGCAAAGAGAACACATAGCTAGCCGATTATCCAAACAAAATCATCCAGAAAGATACTCAAGCGAAATTCAGACAAAATTAACAAAATCAAAATCGGGAAAATCAATATCACCTAAAAAAACCTTGCCCAGATATTGAAGAGATGAAAATGAGCATAATAGCTATTTACCTAATCTCACTAGACAACGACCGAATGGAGAGGCGAAGAAGGCAGGCCAAGAAAACCCTAGGCTATGAAAAGGACGATGAAGATGATGCCGAAGATGTGAGCGAAGGGCGACTGTGAATAATAAGACTAATAATATACCACCACTATGGAGTATGAAAAAAGCTAGCGGCGGCTAGGGCAGAGGGGAGCAATAGGTTTCATAAGTTATTTATAAATATTTGGAGAATGCTACATGTACCTCAAAATTTGTATCTCATTTGTACACTAAAAGTATACACCAAGATTTTGATGATTCACACTGACACAAAGTGTTGGTTCGTTATCAAAAATTTGCACTGACACAAAGTGTTGGTGCGTTAACAAAAATTCGCATTACACCAACACAAAATGTTGGTGCATTCCTGCGATGTAAAAAATGGGGTACAAATAGCATTTTCCTAAATATTTTACTATCTTTTATTTTCAAAATTTATTTATAAAATTTATTTGATTTCGACGACGGTAGGCGGTACCGTCGGGACGGTACTGTGCTACCACCATACTCTGTTCGTTCCGTTCTATTCTGCCGATACCTGTCAACGTTCGGTACCTAGATACCGGATGGACGGGAGACCCTACTCGAGATCGATAAATGTGCTAAATGTAAAACACGCCACTGCTATATTTATGATTGAGTGAATGTCACTTATGTTATAGGGTGGTACCGTCGAGTATGCATCACAAATGTGGAATCTAACCATAGGTGTTGACTACCTAATAGAGGTAATATAGAAAGAGACTTGAACTTGGAAACCACGTCATGTGAATGAACTGAGTATGAGAATGCAACTAACGCATATTCCAACGCAACAGATGAGCTAGACGCAATGTAATGAAGGACATTGTCTCAAACATCGGATTCACACCATGACACTGACCTCGATGTGAGGATTTTTCAGGGAAAAGATTCCTTGATTACATCTCAGGGTACATGTTGGATATAAAATGCATATCTTTTGTGCAAATTTGAATCACCCATATTCATACATATGATCAAGATGTTTGTTCATGATGATGGAACAATATGAATGACATGATGCATGAGTTAGCCGTGCAGGACCCCTTGCGCTCAGAGATCACACCACGAGGGTTATGATTCAGGCAAACTTTAGTCTCATGACGACAAGAATAGTTGTGGGTGGCATTCGAAACCTAGATTACCATGTATGTATACAAAGCGCCTGAATAATACTCGCCGGACTAAACGGACCCGCGTTAAGAGGCACACTAGGCCTGACCTCATAGGAAGTACAACGTGATATGATTGATTCCTACGTCATGTGTCTACGTCATGCATGATGATGTGAATGAGCATACAAACCTTTGGAATACTCCAAGAACATAAATTACATGATAGTAGACATTCAATAGTAACTTGTAGGAACCATATTTGATAAAACATCAAAGTCAAAACAAGTCAAGGATTTCCAAAACTGGATTTGCACAGACTCTACGACCATGATACTCGACCATGCAACACAGCGGTCGACTGTTCTACTGCTACGGTTGAGGTAATGCACTGGACGGTTGACTGTGCTGATGGACCATTTGTTCCGTCTTGTTTGGCGGTCGTAAGGTTAAACTGCGGTCGAGGAATCCTTCAGGAGTACCCGTGACGGTCCACCGTTCTCCACCGGTGGTCAACCGTTCCTCTAGCACAAGTCAGGGGAATCTGTCACGGTCAACCGTGCTTACCGGTGGTGGACCATGACGCTAGCAGTAGTCAAGGAAGCGCACAACAGTTCACCGTTCTCCTCAGCAGTCAACCGTTACGTTGTCCGCGAGCTGAGACTGAGTTTTCTTCAATGTTTCCATTATGCATAGGTGTAAAATAATATAGAATGCTTTTTGATTGAATTATGTGAGGAGTACATGTATATATACAAAAGTCTCAATCCTAGTTATGGTAGAAGAGATATCCTAGGAAACCTATACAAGTATGGAAACAATCATAATACAATAATATTAAATATATTTTATATATTTAATATGCTCCCGACTACGTCGGATGTGCTGGGGGTCGGATACCCAAGCTTTCTCTGAAGTCAAGAAATAAGAGTGGGGGTAGTCCTTTTGTGAAAATATCAGCAAACTGAGAAGATGAAGAAACATGAAGGACTTTGATCTGACCGAACACCACTTTGTCGCGTACAAAGTGTATATCAACCTCGACGTGCTTAGTGCGCTGATGTTGCACCGAATTTGATGACAGGTAAACAGCACTGACATTGTCTCAGAAAACTAGTGTGGCGCGAAGGAGTGGTTGTTGGAGCTCAAGAAGAAGATTCCGGATCCAGCAGGTCTGTGCAATGGCATTAGCAACTACCCGATATTCAGCCTCGGCGCTGGAACGAGAGGTGGTGGCCTGGCGCTTGGATGACCAGGAAACGAGATTGTCGCCTAGAAAAACACAGTAACCCAATGTGGAACATCTTGTGTCAGGGCAGCCAGCCCAATCAGCATCAGAATAAGCCTGTAAGTAGTCGGTGGCGGATCGTGTCAAATAAATCCCATGGGTGGCGGTGCGACTGAGATAGCGAAGGACGTGCTTCATGGCTGTTAAATGAGCATCGCGTGGAGCATGAAGATATAGACAGAGCTGCTGAACTGCATATGTGATGTCAGGACGAGTGAAGGTGAGATACTGCAGCGCGCCACCAATGTACCTATAAAAGGAGGGGTCAGAGAGTGCCGAGCCAGCTGTGGTAGACAGTTTTGCCTTCGTGTCCACCGGGGTAGAGATGGGGTGGCAGGAGACCATCCCTGCCCTCTCAAGTATGCCATGAGTGAACTGAGTCTGGTGGAGGAAGAGGCCAGTGGTTGTACAATGAACATTGATCCCGAGAAAAAAATGTAGGTCGCCCATGTCTGTCATGGAGAATTCAGCCTTGAGTTGCTGAATGAGGCTCTGGAGAAGTGTCGGGGAGGATGTCGTGAGCACAATGTCATTAACATACAGAAGTAGGTACGCCGTGCCCACGGTCTGAGAGAAAATGAATAGGGAAGTGTCGGCCTTACATCCTCGAAAGCCAATAGCCTGTATGAAACTTGCAAACCTGTGAAACCAAGAGCGGGGTGCTTGCTTGAGACCATAGAGAGCCTTCTTGAGTTTGAAAACATAGTGAGGGCGAGTGGGATCTTGGAACCCAGAAGGTTGGCTGGCATAAATGGTCTCCTCGAGCTGACCATGAAGGAACGCATTTTTGACATCAAGTTGATGGATGGACCATCCTCGAGACAGAGCAAGGCTGAGGACTATACGGACAGTGGCAGGCTTGACAACGGGGCTGAAAGTCTTGTCATAGTCAACGCCAAAACGTTGATTGAAACCGCAAACCACCCAACGGGCCTTGTACTTGGATAACTCGCCTAAAGGGCCAAATTTGTGTCTAAAAAGCCATTTACTGGTGATAAGGTTTTGTGAGGGGGAGGGGGGTACTAATTCCCATGTGTCGTTCTTTATTAAGGCATTATATTCATCACACAAAGCAGCATGCCAGTTAGGATCTTTTAGTGCACTACGATAGAGGTGTTAAGATTGAGGATTTGTTTAATGCAGAAGACACCGGATTTAGAGCAAGTTTGCATGTGGTGGGTGTTTGGGGCCAGGTTGGGTTGTTGGGGCGCGGTATCCGTGGGTTGGGGGAGGGGTTTGTAGGCCGTGGGGGGCTAGGAGGGGGAGAGGGAGTTGGGCTGGGAGGGGGTTGGGCCTGGAAGTGGCTGCGGGTCAGGGAGTCGGGCGGGCTGGATTGGGCCGAGGGGGGTTGGTGAGCTGAGAGAGGCCTGGCAGAGGGGCGGGCCGTGGGGAGAGGTGAGTTGGGCGGGACTGCCGTGGGAGGGGTAGGGGGTGGGTTAGGGGGTTGGGGCCGTCGTCTGTGGAGTCCAAAAATTGAAGGTCGGGAGGGGTAAGGGGGTGAGCGTATGGAAAAGTATGTTCATCGAAAACAACATGGCGGGAGACAATGATTTTATTCGTTTGAAGGTCAAGGCATCTATATCCACGTTGGTTTGAGGGATAACCTAGGAAGATGCAGCGGGCAGAGCGTGGTGCAAGTTTGTCTGGAGCACTAGGAGAGGTGTTGGGGTAGCAGAGACAGCCGAAGACGCGAAGGTGGGAGTAGTGGGGAGGTGAGTTGTAGAGAACGAAGTGAGAGGTGTGGTTGTTTAAAGTGGTGGTGGGGAGTATGTTGAAAAGATGGGCAGCCATGTAGAGGGCTTCTACCTAGAATTCAGGGGGGAGTTGGGCTTGGAAGAGGAGGGAGCAGACGGTGTTATTGATAGTGCGAATGGTACGTTCGGTGTGTCCGTTTTGTTGACTAGTATGGGCAAGAGAAGCGGAAAAGAATGCCTAAAGAGTTAAAAATATTTTTAAGAGGTGAGTTTCTATATTCAGTTTCGTTGTCACATTGAACAGCTTTGATTGTTGTGTTAAAATGATTTTTCACATATGCCACAAAAAAATTTAAGTGAGTAAAAGCATCACTTTTATGTCTTAAAGGAAACACCCACAAGTAATGAGAAAAATCATCCAACATTAACATATAGAATTTAAAACCAGTAACACTTGGCACAAGTGATTGTCATAAGTCTGTATGCAAAAGTTGGAACGGAAAATAAGAAACACGACTAGAAGAGTAAAATAGGAGGCGCACATGCTTTCCCAACTGACACGCATGACAAAGAGTTTGTTGATAATTTTTAAATAAAGGAAAATTGTGAGGGATTGAACGAAGGACTGCAGGGCTTGGGTGGCCGAACGACAATGCCAGGTTTGATGATCTACGGATGAAACATGAGCTTGGGCAGGTGCTGGTTGGCCTACAGGGTAGAGGGGAGTCACATTATTGGACTGATGCATCACGGTCCTCGTCTGTTGATCCTTCACAAAAAAACCATGTGCATCAAATTCAACAGTGCAGTTGTTATCACGAGTGAGTTTGCGAATAGAGATAAGATTGTGTGTGNGTGGTGTGCTAGGGCTGTGGGTGTGGGGGATAGGGGGCGGGTATGCTGCGGGTTGGGTGTGTTGGGGGGCTGCCGTGGGGCTGGGGGGTACGGTGACGGGTAGGGGGACGGGTTTGGGGGTGGGGTGGGGAGCGGGAGTGGGCCGGGAGCCCAGCACCCCAGAGCTAGGGTTTGGACAAGGGGAGTTCAAGGAACTTTGGATGTCCGTTGGTGGTCGTTGTCTCGATCCGCCGTTTGAGCGGCCTCGACCATGACCCCGGTTGTCGTTGCCACGCTTTTTTCCGTGTCCAAAACCTCTATGCTACCCGAAGGAAGATCCATCGCCAAAATTGCTGCTAAAAGAGTGTTCCCCACCGCTGACGTGACGAGCACCGCGGCTGCTGCCGCTCCCATGCTGATCGCTGGTGAAACTGCCGGCGTCCCGACCCGCCAGCAGCGCCGTGCTGCTGGTTCCGCCCAGGGGAGTCCGCTGCCGATCGAGGAGGAGGAGGGCCGACCGCACTTGAAGAAAGCTTGGCATGGGATCCTGAAATTGGAGAAACGAGGTCTGAGCTTGGAGATCGTCGGGGAGGCCGCGTAGCATCTGAAGGATCAATTGGTGCTCTGACACAGGGGCATCGACGTCGTCCAACCAATCCGCAATATTTCTGATTTCTTGACAATACGTGGCCATGGGAGTAGATCCTTTGACGGTGGTGCGAAATTGATGCTCGAGTTGCATGGCGCGAGCATGTTTGTTGTCGTGAAACAAGTCATGGATCACTGTCTAGAGAGCAGAAGCAGTAGAAACAGAGGAGAGAACTAGATCAGAAACCTCATCAGTGATGGTGGAGAGAATCCAACCATGGAGGATGGTGTCAAGCTGGAACCATTCATCGTCGTCGTCGGAGATGGGGACGATAGAGCCGTTGAGATAACCCTGAAGATTGAACCGCCGTGCAAGGAGAAGGAACAAGCGGCTCCACTTTTTGTAGTTTGGTTGAGAGAAGCTGAGTTGCATAGGAACATGGAGTTTGACGTTTGAGACAAAGAAAGCCAGATGTGGAGGTTTTTGGGTAGAGGACTGAGAGGTGACCTCACTGTCGGCCATTGTAGGGGAGGGGAGAAGCTGCCGGCCGAAAGAGAAGGAGGAGGAGGGAGACGGCGGTGCTGGTGGTTCGGCGTAGAGAGGAGGCCGAAATCAGGGGAGTATATTTTAGGGTTTTTAGTTTGGCTCTGATACCATGAATAAATATTATTTTCCTTGATTGAATTATGTGAGGAGTACATGTATATATACAAAAGTCTCAATCCTAGTTATGGTAGGAGAGATATTCTAGGAAACCTATACAAGTATGGAAACAATCATATTACAATAATATTAAATATATTTTATATATTTAACAGTAGGACTTCGTTTTTGTTATGTTCGTTCATTTTAACACTTAGGCAATCAAGTATACATATTCTTGAGTGATTCCGATGTATAAATTTTGCATATTGGTTGAGGCTAATATAACAACTAGCCAAATAATTGAGCACATAATATAAACAAATACGCCTAAGTTCATACATATAAAACACATATGTTTGGGCGAGAATGTATATGTTCTTATAATCGTCTAAGTGTAGTCTAGCTGTTTCTGTAACACCTTAAGCCGTCGAGGCCTACAGCCTCTTTCGGACTAAAGTATTAACTTGGTAATCGTAAAAACTTAAAACATTTCAAGCACTTTTATTTATCACAATAATATTTTTCATAACATATCAGTACGGAGTTTTCAATATTACGAAAGTTTAACAAATTAGAATCACAAAACATAATTTATTTATGTTCTTCAATTAAAAACCATCACATCCATCCCGACTATCTCGCATTCGCCTGCCTCCTGGATCACGTCACATCATTCTTTCTATTTACGTGCGTGTAGAAAATAAAACATTCTACACGGTCAGCGTTGAAACTGAGTAAGTATATCTAATGCGTCGAACATCCATATAAATTGAATCTCAATTCATAATCAAATCATTTGATATCATGCACATAATGTTCAATTCAAACATTCATCATTCATGATTTTGATATTGTTCAGTTTATATCAATACATGTTATTCAATTCAGATATTCATTATTTTGACAGTGCTCTTAAATTATTCTCAATCTAAGGCCAATGATAATAACAATGCTCTTATCTAATCTTAGTCTACAGCCAAATCATAACAACGCTCTTAGCTATTCTTAGTCTAAGGCCAAATCCACATTTTCATAATCAGACTCTTAAAGAGTAATTAGTAACCAGACGCTTAAACTATAACTAGTTTAAGGCAACATATTTCCTGACGCTTAACTGTAGTCAGTTAAGGCAATTAATTTCTAGACGCTTAACTGTAGTCAGTTAAGGCAATTCAATTCTTGACGCTTAAACTATAATTAGTTTAAGGCAATACATTTCCAGATGCTTTACTGTTAATTAGTTAAGGCAACAACAAAATAGTGATTAATCATTGTCGAATTGGGGTATTTCCAAACAAGTAATCCTCTAGTTTGGTGAATGAATCCATTTTACATATTTTTATTCAAATCACCAAATATACATGTTGTCATAAGTCCATTCTAATCTGAGGTCTATCCTAGAGGTTTCCTAGATAACCTTAACATCAATTATCTAAATGGGTACATCTTAGAGTTCTTCTTGATACCCTACAAGGTATGTAGATAACCTTAACATCAAGTTTACCATTAAGGTAGGTAGCATAACGTCAGGTTGACCTCCAATATTTTGATCGTTTTGGGAAACATGTTGTGAGTTCACTTGTTCAGTTTGAATAGGAGGTGTGAAACTGGATACTTTAGTATGAACAATTTCGTGCCCATCGCTTGGCACTTGGTTACTTTGATCATGAGCGTTTTCTTGACTCATTCTACAATAACAGAAATTCCTTCGTTAGGATTCTTGATGAGTTGTCAACGGATATTTATTCGGACTATATCGATGTTTAAGTCACTAATCGTGTCATAACAATGTGTCACTTCATTTAACAAGATTGAGCTAACCATAGCTTCTAGCGAGTAGGTTCCTTTGAATTTGACCGAACAAATTGTCAATACATAGTAAAGGGTAGCAATTCTTGATCGTCAGTTTGTCTGTCTTAACAGAGATGTGATAATATCTTTGACCGTAAGTCAATCTTAGAGAGCACAATGGATTCTCTAAGCTGATCAAATAAGTCATGGATATGAGATAAGGATAACGTCAATTTCTTTGTAGGATATTTCAACAAAGTTTTGCAAGGAATTGTTGCTGAACGAACGATTTCGATTCGTATAATATAATCGCATATTTGCGTCGTAATGAGTTAGACATCAGAATGAGATACTTTTAGAAAACAGAGTTTATTGATTCAAAACGTTCGTGTTTGAATCAGCAATCCGATCATCTTCAGTCCACATGAGGATCTTTGACAGCAGCTTCGCGAATGTTATTCAACATTAGGCGTTTCTTCATAGTCGTCTCACTTCTATGCGACTTTGCGAGGCAGATCAGTTTCGTCATTCGCGATATGATAAGTACGTTGATAACGTATCACAATTTTTTTATTCTTTCGTCTCTTCACCGAGTACGAAAAATCTACTTGAGTCTATGCTCGATATAATTTCAGTACTAACAATTGTTATCTAATGAGAATTTTAACAAAGTCAATATTTATCTAATAAATTCTCATACCTTTCCTGGAGCAGAGGGATGCGAGAGTCGTGGATGTGATTGACACATTTTTTTAAATTCAAATTTTGATCCGAAGATCGGTTTTAAGACCTTTTGCTCCGATACCAAACTGTAACACCCTAATCCGTCCAGGTCTGCAGCCCCATTCGGACTTAAGTATTTAACTTGGTAATCGTAATAATTTAAAACTTTTCAAACACACTTTATTAATCCCAATAATATTTTTCATAACATATACAGTACGGAGTATTCAACAATATTGCGGAAGCGATTTTAATATTGACATATCATAAATTGTTTCAAAACTTGTCACATCCATCCCGACAATCTCGCCCCATCTGCCGCCAGGATCACATTATGCTTTCTGTTTACCTGCATGTAGCAAATAAAACACACTACATGCTCAGCGGTAAAGCTGAGTAAGCATATCTAATGCGTCGAACATCTATATAAACTGAATCTAAATTCATAATCAAATCATTTGATATCATGCACACAATGTTCATTTCAGACATTCACAGTTTTGGTATTGTTCAGTTCATATCAATACATTTTATTCAATTCAGATACTATTTCAATAGTGCTCTTAAATTATTCTTAATTTAAGGCCAGATTATAACAATGCTCTTAGCTATTCTTAGTCTAAGGCCAGATCATAATAATGCTCCTAGCTATTCTTAGTCTAAGGCCAAATAATAATTTCCATAACCAGATTCTTTTAAGGCAATTATTAATCAGACACTTAAACTATCATTAGTTTAAGGCAATTGATTTCGGACACTTAACTGTAGTCAGTTAAGGCAATCAGACACTTAAACTATCACTAGTTTAAGGCAATGATTCGGACACTTAACTGTAGTCAGTTAAGGCAACAACAATATAGCAAATGATCAACATTGGATCGGGCATTCCCAAATGAGTGATCTCTAGTTTGGACTACGAATCCCGTTTATGCATTTTTATCTAATCCATCAACTATTCATGTTTTCATAAGTTCATTCTAAGATCTATTCTAGAGGTTTTCTAGATAGTTTTAACATCAATTAGCTAATAGGTATATCTTAAAGTCTTCTAGATATCCTTAACAATACAAATCGTTTAATAATTATCAATATATTCATTATACTCATGGCTCAATCATCAATAATCATTTTGATTAGTTAGTTCATCATTCATGATCATCCATAATAATCATTCATCATAATCATTAATCAACATAACAATTGATAACAAATAGCGGTTTAATTTTGAGTGTTAACACTCTAACTTACCGTCATGCATCACATAATGTTTTATATGCCTAAAACATCATTTTTATTATACAAAATCATATTTGTATTGTTCATAATTAATTGTTATCAAAAATAGGATTTTAGAGCATATTTTCAGGAACATTTTCGTAGCAAGATCTGGAATTGAGGAAAATAATTTAAAACAAGCAATTAATTTATAAAAATTGATTTATATAATTTTATATAATCCATTAATTCATAATAATCGATTTTTACAATTTAAATAATCAATTAATTTATTATAATCGATTTTTACAATTTAAATACTCAATTAATTCATTATAATCGATTTTTCCAATATAAATAATCGATTAATGCATAAAAAACCGATTTTTACAATTTAAATAATCCATTAACTCATAACAATCGATTTTTACAATTTAAATAATCGATTAAATGGTACTGACTTCGAACCACTAATCGATTTTTAGTAAGTAAATAATCGATTTTCGGCCACTGTTCATCATCTTCTTCCTCGGGTCAGTTTTAACATTATCATTTTTTAATCACCAAACTTCAATTTAATTATATAAAAATGTTCTCCAATGTTCACTGATCATTTTAGAGTCATTAATTCGTAATTTTAACAACAATTTCATGGTTTATGATTCTTGGTTCTTCAAACATGTCAAACACAAAACTCAACCAAACGACCATTTATGAACGTAGAAACGATCTATATGAACATTCTAGTCACTAGATATATCTACGGGCTTACCTTGGAGCTAAACGATGATTCCGGTGATTGGACGATGAAACTTCCGGCGAACACCACGGCTTGCTCCGGCGACCTCGACGGCAATTAATACTATCAAATTACTCCCCTCACTCTCAAGATTCTTATGGTACTAATTTCAAGAAGTTTTGTGCAGAGTTGAGATAAGTGAGGGTGCCCATTTATAGCATTTGCAGAAGGAAGTAGACAATTGTTGCTGAGTCATTTGTGACTCACGATCGATTGTGTGGATTCAGCGGCGATCTCCAAAATTTGATACGCAATTCCCTGATTGGGACCAATTTTGGTTCCAGTCGGGGTACACTTTTTGGCCCACCTTTCTCCAAATTGAAATCCGTTTGCACCATTGCAATCGTACAGTTAAACTCTATCCAACGATAAAATTTTCATAATTATTTGTAATACTTTTTCTGACATCATATTTTTGAGTGTTTGACTTTGACAGAGTCAAAATTGGTTTAATTGACCTTTCTCATAAAAGGTTTTCTCATTTAATTCATATCAATTATTCTCATGATTTATTTTAACAAATCATTTCAATATTTACATTCTAAACAAATTCTTTATTTAGTCTTGATTTGGGTCTGTACTTAGGTTCCCAATCAAGACCACACAAATAGTCCACATATTGGATTTATCTCTATGAGACTTATTCAGATTTTGATATTGGATGTCAAAACACATTTCATATTGGCTCAAAGCCCAACAATAATTTATTTTAATCAAAACAAATTTGATTAATTGATTATTGTTTTCATTAATAATTCTAGGGTATGTTTTGGGGCGTTACAAAATCAACATATTCTAGTAGTGCATATCACATTTATGAACCTAAACGTATTAAATTATCAAGTGATGTTATTATGATATCAATTGGTATTTCCTCAAAGCCTAACCATATTTCTTCATAGCCTAAGAATTCTACTACTTTCAGCCAAATATCAATTTATCCTTTGTGTAATCACTCACTTCATACGTCTTTTAAACTCTTGTTATTCTCTACGGATGTTTAATATATCAAGAACATGTCATGGCATAAATCTATATACAAATAATCATATAAACAACAAGCATATTTGCATATAAATATATCAAAGATTTCTCTGTTATATCTAAGGGGTACTTACCTCAAATATGATACAAAAAGTCTCAACGCTACGAGGAACCGAACGAATCAACAAACGTCAATGAACGGTCATCAAAATATTGGCCTTCCAACCCCCAAATGGCTCCTTGAGTTTTGGTTTCTTCTCCCGAACATGTTTCAAGGATGTGGATAGTCGGCACGCACCCAACGAATAGCGGATTGAATGGAACGAAATGAGAATGGAGACGGAAGTTAGCAACCTTGTGTTTTCCGTCACCACTGAACTAGATTTGGTTGGTCATATCTCCTTCGTTACTCGTCCGATTTACAAACCGTTTGCGGAAATGGTTCGCCAACTCGCAGGGCTACAACTTTCTTGAAGAAATTGTGACCAAATAACGAGTTTAAAATGGTCGAAATAGTGCCTTAAGTGGACTGACAGGATTTGCTCTCCAAAATCGGCACCTCATTCTCCCTCCTTTTCTAGTGACTCTCCTCATTCACCGACGCTGCTGTGTTTCTGGAAAAGTAGAGTGATGAGAGGGAGAGGGAGAGATGGGTGATACAAACATGGTAGAGTTTAGCTTGAAGGGATTGGTGGAGATCTTGTGATGGAGTGAAGTATTTAAATGGAGAGGAGAAAACCAAGAGTTGGTATGGGAAGGGCTGACCAAATTTCACATGTGCAAAACAAGGGTGATAAAACCTATGTTGCTCCGATAAAGTCAGAAACTGATAAGAACAAAACACGTTTTTTCCCCTGATCAACTCGAATTGAAAACCGATTGAGTTATTGGAAATACATAGTCAAAACTAAATGTATGATATGTTTTAAATATTTTTCTTGTTACTTTATTTTCTAACCTCTAGTTTGTCTCAACCATTAATTAATTTATTTCATTAATTATTGTCGAGAGGCTTGTTATTAACATCTTTCTATATTTAAAACAGGTTAACTTTTGAAATTCATTTAAAGAGATCAAAATCTCAATATTTATTATTTAAAATAATGAGTTTCAATAAATAATTAATATTTATTTATTTAAAATGTCGGTCACTTCCAGTTTGGGTTAGTTCGGGTTCGAGTTGAGAACTGTATGTTCGTGACACAGTGTCATCGGGTTCAGGTCGACCCAACGGGTTATGACTTTGGTTTTTTAAATTTTTAAATTCACATTAACACTTACATTTTCTATTTAAGAAATTTAAAATATCAAAAGAAAAAGTATTAAATCTATTAGATTATTTTATTTTAAATTCTGAATTAATTTTTAGATATATAAATCAATATAAATAATTTAAAAAATGATTAAGTTTTGGAAAAAGTAAGATAATTATGCAATATCATTAAAATTTTATCTAAAAATATAAATTTATATACTAAAAACGAGTAGCAAAGTGTATGATTTTGAAATATTCTTACTTTAGCGGGCCGGTCAGGTTCGGGTTTGACCTATTTTTAGCGGGTCATTTCGAGTTCGGACAACTTCGAGTTCGGTCATAAAAACCTTTGTTCAAAATCCAGTATTTTCGCGTCGGGTTTTGGATCAAAAACAGGTCGGATCATTTTTTGCCAGCGCAAGACGTAGGTAACGTGCGATTAGACAATTAAAGCTGAGACTCCAGATAGAATACCCTTGATACGTACGTTGAAAGTAGCATGTTAAAGATTGATCGGCGGGATGGAATTCGTTCTACATAGAATCATTTAGGACAAAGGTATTTGAAATTTTTCTGTCCTTTGTTACATCTAGTAATAATGGTAGTGGAAGGACCAATATATATATATATATATATATATATATTACAATAATAACAACAATAATGGATTCCACTTCCTGATATGCCGAACTAGGTCATTACAAATGAAAAACCCCACTCAACCATACATTTAGCGGGACCAACTAACAGAAGCTGCAGGACCCAATGCTCTAAACGTTTGGACGCTTCGCCGGAGGCCAAGGTCTCGGGCATTATTCCCCCTTACGCCTAATATCAACAATATACTCACGCCTCTTCAATGCACGGAAAACGCATTCGTCTCCCGGTTTGAGCATATTGGCAGCACTGAACTCTTTCCACCCCGTAGACAGAACAACAATATGCTGCTTCCTATGCAATAAAACCGGCCAAACTCTTTTGGTTGGGTCTGTGAGAAATAGGATGCCCTTGTCTTGTTGCCTATCTCTCCAAGGCCAGCTTTCTGGTAGTTCCTGAGATTGCACAAACATGTCCATATTCATTCAACTTTTCATATATAACACAAAAGTCATAATGGTCAATTAAATACGAAGAGGAGGGAGTAATTTTTTTTCAAAAATATCCTAGAGGTAGGGTATGAGCATGGTTGACATCAATGAATTTACTTATTTCAGCAAGTTTGACTTTTTTAACTCATTTCTTAGTAAGTGGAGAATTACTTCCGGATGGAGTATACAACAAAAGCAGATTGTTCTAGCTAGAGCCATACAATTCAAATATTTAGCAATCAAAACGAGCTTTAATAGAAATTGTCCAATTGTGATTTGTATTAAACAAGCATTGTAATCAGAATAAAAACAAATAAATGAATAAATAAATAAATAAATATACACGTACAAGAAGCACCAGAATGTATAGAGTATGACTGTATAGCACACAAATAATTAAATTATACAATTGGGAAATGACTTTTTAAGTTCTTATTTTCATTATCTTTTTTCCACTTCATTTTTTTTTCCTTGAGTGAAAAAATGGTCTTAAGTAAAAGTTAGAAGGATACATACAACAAATTCAGCACCATCAACCAATACCAAACACAAGTCTGCAGAAGCTGCATCAACAGGCTCACTTTTGACTGATTCAAAGTCCATGTTGGTCATGTTCATTAGATTTTCCTCTGTGTATTTTCAATGGAACGTGCATAAAAATGATACGGTTTCAGTATAAATAATAATGAAGGCATAAAGGAAGAATGCTTGAACTCGTGCATCTATTAGGACATGAACATGAAAAAGAAAGAATATAAACAACCATTCTGATGTGATCATACCTTCAGTTACCATCTCTGCTGGTTCTTTCTTAATCAATTTGGCTTTCTCACCTATTAAGGGGGGTGGGGGTGGGGGGTCCCCATGTATCAAATGGAAACTAATTAGTGTTGAATTATACAGAAACTAATCGTGTATATTGTTAAATTCATTATTAGAAATGTTTTAATTTCGGGTAAATAATGGACTAAATAAAAAAAGACACATTACACTTCCTTTGATTCTTACTTTATGAAGTTTTGGGTAGTAAATGCAAGAATGCATCAAGGGTTTAATGCAAATAGTGTTTATGTAATGGTAAGGTTGCATACATTTAGACCCCTCAGACATCAGCGAAGTTGAGAATATACTTGGTTTTGTAGTTCACATTGTTTTTATTTAACATTATAAGTAATGATATTAAAAAAAACTTTCTAGCAATTTGAAAGTTTACTGAAGAGATTACCATTTCCAAATGCTCCGCCAAATTGTGTTATGGGCATTTGAATACTGCTAGTGCAAGGACCCATTTTAATCACATGTGGCATCGGACTTTCTGATATTGGTTTGTCCTTAACAGAATTATCTTTGCCCTGAACATGTTCCATGGATTCTCTCTCATCTAAGAAAATGATTTTCCTTTCACGAAGCTTGCTTGTTGGCAATTCAAATCTTGATGGAAGTGCACCTTTCGGTCCAAGCTGCACCCCTTCATTCTCTTGTGATTTCAATTTTCCACCTGTGAGATGTATAAATGGAAATGTAATAACATTCATAAAGAAAGAAGATAGAACTTGATTAATTAAATCTTCCTCCTCTAAGGTTTGGTAAATTTACTACTTAGTGTTAGGAAATTACACAGAAGCACCTTGACAAATCATGTTATCTCGAAACACGCCTTTTGACACAACAAAAGTATGATATCAACATGTAATGTATCACTTGGGTTGAACTTTTTTTACATACAAATTTAAAGTTTTCATTCAAAACGTAATTTTTTGTCGAACATCTAGGGTTATTTAATTTGGAATAAAACTCAATTTCTACTAATATCATCACCTAATATCATCTTTCAATGTAGTTCTAACAAAATGACTAGTTGAGAAGCTTATTTGTAGCATTACTAGCATCCATGAACTTTGAGTATCATTTGGTAATTTGACCTAACCTCAGGGAAGGTAGATGTTAACCTTAAGTATTCTGGTCGATTATAAAAATTAAAACCAGAATTTTTATACAAAAAGGAGTCAAGGCACACAAACATGAAGCAACCATTAAATTTAAGTGATATAGAAGGAGAAAAGAGATTACAAGATGGAGATTTACTACACAGTTTACTTTTGGACATTTGATATGGTTCTTCCACATCCATAGAAGGCGGACAAGATTCTTTCCCTTTATTGTGAGCTTGATCAATAATGGGAGCACATGCTAATTGGTAAGAATTGTTTCTGGAAGTAGTGGTACGTCCTATGTTTACTGAATTTACATGCATAAAATGATAAGGTTGCGAACTAGCAATATAAATATAAATGAAGAGTGAAGACATGTCAAGGAAGAATGCATGCGCGTATGCATCTATAAGGACATAAACCTGAAAGTGGAAGAACATAATTAACCATTCTGATGTGGTCATACCTTCGGTTACCATCTCGGTTGGTTCTTTCTGAATCAAATTGCCTTTCTCACCTATTTGGGGGGGGGATCCCCATGTACCAAATAGAAACTAATTAGTGTTGAACTCTACTGAAACTAATCGTGTATAGTGTTAGAGTCATTGTTAATGATGTTTCAACTATGGGTAACTTATGGACGAAATTAAAAAGGCACATTAAACTTTGGTTCTTACTTTATACAAAGCTTTGGGTAAAAAATGCAGCAATGCACCAAGGATTTCATGCAAATAGTGTTTATGTAAGGCTGAGCCGCTGAGGCTACATACATCTTGAGTCTTGACCCAACAAACCTCAACAGAGTTGAGATTATAGTATTATACTGGATTTTAGTTCACATTTTTGTTATTTAACATTATAAGGAATGAGGTCAAAAAAACTATCAAGCAATTTAAAATAGTGTTGAAGAGATTACCATTGCCAAATGCACCACCAAATTGTGATATGTGTTGAACACTGCTGGTGCAAAGACCCTTTTTCATTACATGTGGCATAAAACTTTCCGTGACTGCTTTGTTCTTTACAGAATTTTCTTTACCCTGAACATCTTCCACGGATTCTGTTTCACCTATGAAAATGAAGTTCCTGTCCAGAAGCTTACCTGTTGGCATTTCCAATCTTGATGGAATTGCACCTTGCACTCCCATCAGTTCATTCTCTTGTGATTTCAAATTTTCATCTGTGAGATGTTTAAATGGAAACGTAATTAAGTTCATAAAGAAAGAAGATAGAAGTCGATTAATTAAACTTACCTCCTCCAAGGTTTGGTCAAATTACAAAATGGTTTTAGGAATTTACACATATGCACCTTGACAAGCCATGTTTTCTCGAAACATGCCTTTTGAAACATAATGTGTCAAAAGTCAAAACATGTCATGTGTCTTTGGGTTGAACATTTTATTTTAATAATTAAAAAATTTCATTCAAAAAGAAATATTCGTACAATCATCTAGGATCATTTAGTTTGAAAAAAAAACTCGATTTCTACAAATATCATTACATCATGTCATCTTTCAATGTAGTTAAAAACAAAACTATCTAGTTAAGAGGCTTATTCAAATATTTGTAGCGTCCATAAACTTTAAGTATCATTTGGTAATTTGACCTAACCCTGAGGAAGGTAGATGTGACCCAACTTATTTTAGTCCAGTTTAAAAATGAATATGGGAAATTTCATTCAAAATCAAGGTGTCAAGCCGTCAAGGAACACAAGCAACATTAAATTTAAGTGATACAATATGGGAAAACATATTACCTGATGGAGATTTACAGCAGAGTTCATTTTTGGACATTGTAAAGCTACTGGGAGGGTCATTCCGTACTTCCTCATCCACAGAACGCAGACACGATTCTTTCCTTTTATTGTGACCTTCATCAATGATTGGATTTGGAGCACATCTGGATGCCAATGGCTGGTAATCATTGTTACCCAAAGTAGCAGGACTTTCTTTGTTTGCTGCATTTACTTTTATGCCCTGAGTCTCACCTCCCAGGGTACATGGGATGAAGGCTTTGTCGTTGTTGCTATTGTTTGACTCGTATTCTGGTCTTAGTGACATATTGGCAGTTCGTGCCCTCTTGTTACTTCTCTCAATAGGTGTAGTATCGAAGTCATTTTTGAGACAACCGCTCCGTCCATATATGTGCACAACAAAGTGGTCTACCGGCCTTGTGAAGTAATGGAAGACCAAAAAGTCCCCTCTTTCAATGTTATGGCTCAATGAGAATTGGTGCCATTCCTGTTGAATAGCCAGCGTATTCTCCCACTTTGAAACCTTAGCTTTTGATTTGATCCCTACAGAGTCCTCAAGGTAGATTTCTTGATCAGCCAAATGGGATGTGGCTTTAGCAAATTGAGGAGGAAGATACTGCAAAAGATATCAAGTGGTAGCTTTAGTGAACCCTTGTTTGGTTGGGTATTTTGGACTCGAGGAAAGTGGAATGGGTGATATTTAAGCCATCAATTTTATTCTCTCAATTCCTTCCCCAACCCAACCTCTCTAATTTTGGGTAGGGGCAAGGTCGGCCAGGACTCTCTTGGAAACAACCTCTCTACTCTCGCGGGATCCGATTGGGTTGTTGTTGTTGTGTACTTTTTGTTTGGAAAGGAGAGAGGCTTTGCCCCTACTCGAGAGTAGAGAGGTTGTTTCCAAGAGACTCCCGGCTCAGACAGCATAGATAAAATAAGATCACAAAAGACAAATAAAGTAGAAAAAGCACAAAGCGCAATGAGGCAAAGAACAACACTACGACATGATTTGTTTATTACAAGTTTACGACACATAGTATAAACAGAAGAAGTTGAGTGTTGAGATACCAGAGTGTGCATGAACTCATCGGAGATCATGATTTTGAAGAAAGATGTGACCGCTGGACCCGGGTAGTGTTGACAATGAAGAAATGCACAATTCTGTTGGCACTCAGCACACGCTCCCATATCTGCAAAACAGCCAGCTTCTCTCCTGAAAGTTCCTCCTCAAATAACACAAGGTGAAGTAATATAAAGTGAAGTAATAGAAAATTAGAAACAAAAATGAAATCCAAAAACACAGCTTATTTTGTTAAGCCCATGAAAATAGGGTGCTGCTTTGAGATTGCACCCAAACCAACAAAGCTCTGATACCACGTTAAGAAAACAACTCGTCTTTACCCTGACAACATTAAACGATTTATGCCACAAGAATTTAATACAAAGTATTATTCAATTATACTAGATGTACCCAAACTTACTAAGTAAAAACAGAGACAAGTCTTTCGGTTAGAACCCCTATGCATGCTACATTTACTGAGCAGAACCCTAAGTTTCAGCCGAAACAAGGTTTTTTAAAAAAACAAAACAAAACGAAACCAAAATTACAATAACAACATTAGGAAGGAATTAGGAAGGAAAAGAACCAAAATGGAAGTAATTTAATTTTCCCTGTTCTTAGTATATTTTATGTTTTATTTTCTTTTCCATGCACTTTTTTTCTTTTCCTCTCTAAACAAACAAGAAAAATGATTTTCCATCTTAATTTCTTTTCTTTTCCCTTTCAAATACCTTGAACCAAACATAGTGTAAATAATCATGGCATTGAATCCCATTTGCAACAAATAAACACGAATTTAAATGGAAAACAATATGCCCAGAAAGCTATGAAGAAAAAAAGGAACCGGAAAACCAGTACCTCCAGAATGAGAGTTTAAAAGAGTCTTCTTATTTGCAGAGATTTCGATGAGTAGCAGTGGAGTGTATCACTGGACTGAGAGAATAGTTGCCTGTGGTGTGTGTTTGGACATTGATTTTTTCGATTCTCAGTCCTATTTGTTGAGTAAATTGCCGTTTAGATTCTTTTTTGTCCGGCTACTTCATTTTTTTCTATCTTTCCATAATTCCATGTCTTAGATTGGGTTAAAAATTCACTATATTTTAACTTTAGAATATGAAGGAAATAAAATAAAATGGGCAATGCTAGGGGTGCACCAACATGGGGTACCCCAAGTGTACACCAAGCCAACACAGACACACACAGACACAAAATGTCTGTGCAACACAGACACTTTGTGTCTGTGTGTGTCTGTGTTGGTGTACCCCTAGCTTAATTCAAATAAAATAGATCTCTAAAATGCCTATGTTTCTTTAGTTAATGGAGTAATAGTTATTCAATTAATACAATTTTCGACGATGAGTCGGGTGTCTCTTTCTAAATTATATTTCTTATTTCAATATCAATCTTTAAAAATAAATAAATTGAAAAAATTTAAAATTTGGCTTCGTTATTCATAATGTGACAAACATATGGAGGGAATATTCTTTTTTTAAAGTTATTTAATTTGGTGTTACTTAAAATAAAAACATTAAATAAATATTCCATTAGTGTTACACACACACACAGAGATATGTGTGTGTCAGTGTGTGTGTGTAGTATATTCATTAGATAAAAATATAATTTGAAAATGTTATATAAAATGAAGCTAATAAAATTATTTTGTATCAATATCTAATATAATTTTTATTTAATTTGTGGTTAAAGTTTGCCAATTTTGACCAAAAGAATTTAAAAATGAACAAATACTCAAGAACATGGAATATATATTTTTTTGAAAAATCTAGTATTAGAAATTAAAAATATGAGATATGAAAAAAAAGATGAAGAATGGGAGGTAAATTTCATCATTGGTATACAAGCAATGAGCATTATTTCACTTAGGTATATGAAACTTAAATCGGATCATAAAAATGCTCCAGCTTTGACATTCCTTCAACAAAAGTTTATCGCAAATTCCAAGTGATCAGCAAGTCATATATGGCTAAATTATAATTTTATAAATTTAAATTTTAGTATCTCCGCCCCAGAGGATAGTATTCGTCCAGTTTGACTTTTTCGTACTAATATAAATTTAAAATCATTTTCGGACTAATATACAATATAGTTTTTACATGAGCGATATACGAATTTAAAATTTAAATTCAAGTTTCCAAACATCTCATAAATAAATTTGGTATCATTTGATCAAGGACTTTAATTGAAGTTTCATAGAAGATAATTTGAGAGAGCTTATGTTTCAATTATAAGTATTAATGAAATTCATTACCAAACTTTATCATTTGTTAGATTAATTATTAACAATACGGTATTCACTCATGATTAACGTTATATTATTGTTTCACAGTGAAAATATAATAAAAATCACCCTAAATAGGACTACAACCTAGAGAAAAGTACCAAAATAGGACTTTCATGTTTTTTTCTCGAAATATGACTTTACACTGTGGTAATGTGGTTGTAATGTGGAACTGTACAGGTGCACATTACTATACTTTTTAGTAATGTACATGATCATGTTTGGTAATGTAATTGTATTTTAAGTCCTATTTCGGAAAAAAACATGAAAGTTTTATTTTGGTATATTTCCAATATTTTGGTCCTACTTTGGTCTTTCTCTCAAAATATAAAAGTATGATCAAAAGTATTTGGAGTATCAAGTTTAGATGCCACTTGTAGCTTTTACAATTTCACAAAAAAATTACATATCTCAAACTTTTTCAAATATTTCTAATTTAAATAAAACTTTGACATGTTTATATCCAAAATTATATAATATAATTTTATTAGCAAATGTTATATGTTATTTCATTTCTTTAATTTTTAATGTATATATTTAATTTTATTCAATTTCTGAATAGTGTTATTGTAAAGAAATTTTGTAGAATCGAATTTTTTTTATTCAAACGTGTGCATGGACGAGTCAAAATGCTTGCAATAAATAATGTTGGAGTTCAATTATCACTCTCTATTCAGAATTAGAGTTCTAGTCCGTGACGTGAAAAAATATAAGGGGGGATGGAGGTTTGGGGGTGGGACTGGTTGAATCAAAGAGAGAGAAATTGAAAGAAAGAGGGTAAAATAATACTCTCTTCGTCCCGGAGTATTTGTCTAGTTTAACTTTTTCGAGTCAAACTAGAAAAACTTTAATCATCAATTACTCTCAATTTGTATTGCATATTAATAAAATGGAACAAATTTTTAAAATTTTTAAACAAGCTAAATATATTAAAATCATTTTCGTACTAATATACAACATAGTTTTTTACTTAATTAAGGCTCAAAGTTCGTCGAGTTTGTCTAAATACCAGCTGGTTATTTAGTAAATAAATCTCTACAAGTATTTGTAATCTCAATAGGTCTCTGCCGTGAAAACCCCCACTAGCAACTAGAATTCACCAAAAAATAAATGATCGTAATATTGATGTAAAAAAATACTCTAATATTTATTTGCAACAGAAAAATATATCATACCCAAACACTATTTTCTTTAAAAATAAAATTGAATAATATAAATTTGATATTTCAAATTCTTTTCTCTAAAACAAGAGTTTTCATGCCAGTTATGTATACATATACCCAAAAAAAGAGATATATATATATGTGTGTGTGTGTGTGTTTTCAAATTACAACAATACGAACTCGATCCTATTATGTGGATAATATGAAATAATTAAAACTAAATATGAAAAAATATAAATAATATTTAATAATAATGATATTTTTCATTTAATTTAAATAGAATTTTAGGACCATGCTACATATATTAATCCTTTATCTTACTTCCATATTTATAAATTACATACTTAAATTAATAAGTTACAAAGATTTAGTATGGAAATTCGTGTATATATAGGTTGAAATCAATAGAGTACTTATATTGATGGAAATTACAATATTATTTTTGATTCCTTACTTATATGTCTTACGGCCATGAGTTTATTATTGATCATCTTACTTATATCGGGTGATTGATGAAACTTACAAATAATATTATTAAGAAAAAATCCTAAATAATACTTGTAACACCCTAATCTGTCCAGGTCTGCAACCCCTTTCGGACTAAAGTATTAACTTGGTAATCGTAAAAATTTAAAATTTTTCAAACACTTTTATTTATCATAATAATATTTTTCATAACATATACACTACGAAGCATTCAACAATATTGCGGAAGCGAATTTAAATATTGTCATCTCATAATAATTAATTTCAAGACTTGTCACATCCATCCCGACAATCTCGTCCCGTCTGCCACCAGGATCACATTGTTCTTTTTGTTTACCTGCGTGTAGTAAAAAAAACATAGTACATGCTCAACGTTGAAGCTGAGTAAGCATATCTAATGTGTCAAACATCCATATAAACTGAATCCAAATTCATAATCAAATCATTTGATGGCATGCACACAATGTTCAATTTAGACATTCACAATTTTGATATTGTTAAGTTCATATCAACATATTTTATTCAATTCAAATATTATTTCGACAATGCTCTTAAATTATTCTTAATCTAAGGCCAAATAATAACAACACTCTTAACTATTCTTAGTCTAAGGCCAAATCATAACAACGCTCTTAGCTATTCTTAGTCTAAGGCTAGATCACATTTTTCATAACCAGACTCTTAAACTATGGCTAGTTTAAGGCCATTAACTAAACTCTTGAAAGGCTATTAATAATCAGACACTTAAACTATCATTAGTTTAAGGCAATTGATTTCAGACTCTCTTAACTGTAGTCAGTTAAGGCAACAACAATATAACGACCAATTAACGTAGGATTGGGGTATTCCCAAATGAGTGATCCTCTAGTTTGGTTTATAAATCCCTTTTATACATTTTTATCCAAATCACCGAATATTAATATTTTCATAAGTGTGTTCTAATACAAGATCTATTCTAGAGATTTTCTAGATAGCCTTAATATCAATTATCTAAATGGATATATCATAGAATTCTTCTAGATATCCTTAAGAATACAAATCATTTCATAATTATCAATGTATTCATTTTACTCATTGTTTAATCATCAATAATCACGTTAATCAGTAGGTTCATCATTCATAATCATCCATAACAATCATTCAACATAATCATCAATCAACATAACATCCAATAGCAAATAACGGCCTAGTTTCGAGTGTTCACATCCTAACTTATCGTCATGCATCACATAAGATTTTATTTGCCAAAAACATCATTTTCATTGTGAAAATCATCTTTATATTGTGAAAATCATCTTAATATATGATAGGAAAATCGATTAATAGCTACTGACTTCATTTTCTTCAGCAGAGTAGGGAGATAATCGAATATCATAAGTGATAATCGATTATCAGACTTCCAGAACATGGTGATAATCGATTATCAGAAGTGATAATTGATTATCTGCTATTGACTTTATTTTTCACAACAGCCTGATAATTGATTATCAGAAATGATAATCGATTGTTGATAATCGATTATTACTTAGAATAATCGATTATTGTGATGTTGTGTTCAATATTTCTGCAGAACGAAGCTGTAATTAATTTTTAAGTCCATAATCGATTATTCATCATCTTCTACCTTGAGCCAACTTACAGAAATGTCATATTTAGTCAGCAAACTTCAATTAAAGTATATAGAAATGTTCTCTAAACTTCATAGATCATTTTGGTAATATTAGTTCGTAGTTTTAACATCAATTTCAAGGTTTATGATTCTTGGTTCTTCAAGCATGTCAAGCACAAAAATCAACCAAACGACAGTTTATGAACGTAAAAACGATCTATATAAATATTCTAGTCACTAGATATATCTACGGGCTTACCTCGAAGCTTATCGAAGGTTTTGAGAAAATTCTAGTGAAACTTCCAGCAACAATAAATACCAACTCCGGCGACCTCTCACCTAATTGACAGCAGCACTGCGTTCTCCTCACTCAGAGCAATAGAATAAGAATAAATATTTTGAGGAATGGTGAAGAAATGGGAGAGAAGTGT